TTCTTCTTCTTCTTCTTCTTCTTCTTCTTCTTCTTCTTCTTCTTCTTCTTCTTCTTCTTCTTCTTCTTCTTCTTCTTCTTCTTCTTCTTCTTCTTCTTCTTCTTCTTCTTCTTCTTCTTCTTCTTCTTCTCCTTCTCCTTCTCCTTCTCCTTCTCCTTCTCCTTCTCCTTCTCCTTCTCCTCCTTCTCCTCCTCCTCCTCCTCCTCCTCCTCCTCCTCCTCCTCCTCCTCCTCCTCCCTTTTCTGTTGTCAAAGCGAGCTGAAAGCTTTTTGCCCAGTTTTTTTCCTCTGGGAAGAGTCTTTGGGCAAAAGGCAGATGGGTTAATGCATCGAGAAGCGTTTGAGGAGGAGAAGAAGAAGAGGCTGTAATAAAAAAAAAGTATTTTGCTTTCTCAAAAAAACAAAACAAGACCCTGGCTGCAGTGCTCCAATAGCTTTAAGTTATTAGGAAATTAGAGGTTTAAATACTGATAGAAGAGAATATTCGTAGCTGGGGGTTGAATTGTGGGGTCTTTGGTGCTCTCGGAGCTTGGTGGTTTTCTTGCAGACGTTTCATGACCCAACTAGGTAACATCATCAGTGCTAGAAGGGAGTTGGGTTTGCAGGGAGGAGGAGGAGGAGGAGGGAAGGGAGGGGGAGGGGAGGACTGTGAGGTCCTTGGTACTATCTGAGCTTGGTGGTTTCATTGCCTAACTAGGTGATATCATTAGTACTCCATAACAGCACTGATGTTGTTACCTAGTTGGGTAATGAAATGTCTGCAAGAAAACTACCAAGTTCACAGTGTATCAAGTCTCCTCCTCCTCCTCCTCCTCCTCCTACTCCACAAACCCCAGTCCCTTCTACCACTGATAATGTTACCTAGTTGGGTCATGAAAACATCTGCAAAAAAGCCACCAAGTTCACAGAGCACCAAGGACCCCACAGTTCAATCCTGAGCTACAAATATTATTTTCTATTAACTTTAAAAGGGATTTTTGTTTTTCCATTGTTGGCAAAACCCATCTTCTCACCCCACCTCAGAAGGTGGCAAGATAAAAAAGATGTATGTATGGTTCAAGGCTACGTCCTAAGACAATTCAGAGGGTAGAAGAACAAGGGGGATTGATAGAAGTAATGAGCTGTATGCCATTATCCATTCCTTCTGAAACTGGTCCCAGAGCCTCAAGGCATTAGAAATTAATCTGAAGCTTTTCTGCTAACGGCAGGTAAAGAGGCAAGACCTGTCTTATTTAGGAAGATAAATAAAGAATGACTATTGGTAGCCTTAAGGAAAGAAGGAGGTGAGCAAAACTCCTGACTAAACAAAAAGCATATCTTTCTGCCGCCTAAGCATCTGAATCGGCCTGATTTAGAAGGAAACGATGCTTTCAAGAATGAAAAGGGAGACAAATAAGATTTCGGAAGCCTTAGGGAAATGAATGAATCGGAAAATGTGATCTGTGCCCTGATGGCAATCATCCCTAAATCCCCCTTCCCAAGGATCTACTGGATGGATAGTCCTAAACTTACATCAGTTCATTTAGTGACCGTTCGACATTACAACAGCACTGGAAAAAAAAATGGCCATTTCCCACAGTTATGACCGTTGCAGCGTCTCCGTGATCACGCGATCAAAATTCGGACACTTGGCAACTGACTCATATTTATGATGGTGGCAGCCTCCCCGGGGTCATTGTGATCCCCTTTTGCGACCTTGCTGACAAGCAAAATCCATGAGGGAAGCCAGATTGGACAACCATTTGTCAGAAATGGTGTAGGGACTCCTGCTTGAGCAGGGGGTTGGACTAGAAGACCTCCAAGGTCCCTTCCAACTCTGTTATTCTCTCATTCTCACTATCAGGAACTTTTTCCTTGGTTCCACATAGTACACTTGTTGTTCAGGTATTGTGGTCTTAGTCTTACTATCTGCAGTGGGATAAATCGTAAGTTGGGGAGAGGATGATTTTGAAAAACGGAAGTACCAACGCCCAGCTTGAGAATCCAAATAAAACTCCAGGTTCATTCCGTTTCTGAAAATCTTACTGCTTAGTGAATACGCTGCATGGGAATGTCGAAGCAAAACTCACTCTGAGGTTCCCAAACCCCAATTCATAGAATTAAACAATAAATTTTCCCAGCCAAACCCACAACATCTTACACAGTCCATATAAACAAGTTCACTTTGTTATGGGAACCGTCTGCTTCAAATCCACACCTGTTCTGATGTCCTTGAAAAGATTTCAGGTTCTTCAGTGGAATCGTAAAAGTTTCGTTTCTCCATCTAACCCCCTCAAAAGCAACGCTTCCCTCCTCTCTTTCTCTAATGACAAGTCGAAACAAAGAGGCACATAGCTGCCAAAGTTTCATCCTGGACAGGAAGTTATAATCCTTCAACGAAAGCACCACTCCTCATGACACCTTCTCTTAGCAGAGGTTTGGGGATAAGCACCCGGGTGCCTCATCTTCTTCTCCACCAGGAAAAGTTCTCCACCAAGATGGAGGAACTTCTGATGGAGGAACGCATATACCCGTTGCATTAGCAAGAGCGTTGACGAGAAGAGGCAGGGTCCTTGAGGACTCACCTGAAACCTCCACAAGACTGATGAAGTTCTCAGCTCTTCATTGTCCTGAAGTTGTTTATCCCTGCTGTAAGGGCAAATTCACCAGCCCTAAGTCAATATAGTTGCCACAAGGGCATATCCTATCAAACTGTATCCCTGGAATCAGGAGCCTGGAAGGATGTTCATCTTGGCTCGGGCAGTTTCTTCTCCACCTGCCTGAGAAAAGGGAGAGACCAAGATGATGGGTGCGAGACAATGTTGCCCAGCTGCACAGGGACTTGGCCAACGAACGCCACTCCTGATTGCATCAAGAATGGATGCTGGAGTGGAACCAATTCCCAGAGCCAACCGAGCAATTGCTAGTTGGCTTTGAGGTAGCCGAACTAATTGTATGTTCTTTTCAAATGCTTTCTGTGTTGAAACAAATGCAACTCTAAATGGCCATCCGCTCAACTTTTATCCCAGGATAGCTCTGCTCAAAACGTGGCTGGTTGCCGCAGAAGGGTTTTGCTCCTGGAGCTGATCCTTTTGCTAATCATCTCCCACCTTCCTGGGCTCATCCTTCTAAATCTGTTGTTGGCTTAAAGGCTTCTGATGCTGGGCTGTTTGTTTGAGCACCGAGCTTGGCAATTTGGCTTGCAAACGTTTCGTCACCGTTTGAGGAGATGTCGTCGGTGCGCTTTGACTGACGACGTCTCCTTGAAGGATGACGAAACGTGGCTCAAAGCAACCGCCCAACTACCATCCCGAGCTACTAATATTAAAACACATGTCGGCTTCTGATGTCTTCTCCAAGGCCATCCCTGTGGCTTCTAACCATGGCTGCATTTTCTCCCTGGAAAATACGATCAACCAGCCCAGCGTTTGAGACCCATCTCAAACCAGACCTTCTTGATGGAACATCACATGTCCCAACCTGATGGCAAGGACCAAATTTGGACCTCTTCGGTGTTCAAGGGAGCAAAAATTGAGACGGGAAGGAAGGGAAACTTTCACAGAACTGAGGGGGGGTTGTTCCAAATTCCCCGGATAAGTGCATCGGAGGTCCCATCTGTTCCATGTAAGTAGCAGAAGACAGATTTGCTAATAGCACTGTCAGAAGTGATCAGCTAGTCACCCCGTCTAATAAAGGGAGACAAGCTCTATAAATTTCCAGACAAACATGAGTGTTAAATCAGGGCCAAGAAGCCCCTTTGCTATAAATAACCAATTAAGGCGCAAGGTTGACAGGCCTTGTCCCAAA